TTTTTTTTTTTTTTTTTTTTTTTTTTTTTGTATGATGAGGTTGTGATTTTCTGACCTTCAAAATAAAAGGGCAGCAGCTAAAATACGAGTATTTGACATTAAGAGTCTTACTTCTGCAGGACAGCCTGCCACTCCCCCACGCGCTCGTCGATCGGGAAGCTGGCAATCATCCCGTGGATCTTTGCCCGCCACTGGCTCATGTAGTCCTCGATGTCGAAGACGAAAGGCTGCTGGCCGAAGTTGGCGTCGACGATCTCACCGGGAGTTTGGAGTCCAACGGTGGGATACAGGTTGGGCTGCCAGAGGTTCAGGTAAAATGTTTATTTTTATTTAGAAGGAAAACCTTTAACATAATGAAAATGTGTGGTTGTAATCAGACGATATGTGTACTTACAGGGAGGTCAGTGAAGGCAACACCTACAGGAAGAAAAAATACATCCAGAGTTAAAATTTACATTTTCTTCAAATGAACACAGACAATTTAACTAGCCTTTGGTTGCTTTTAGCTTCTAACTAGGCTTTTGTTACGTTTAGCTTCAAACAAGCCTTTGGTTGCTTGTAGCTTCTAACTAGCCTTTGGTTGCTTGTAGCTTCTAACTAGCCTTTTGTTGCTTGTAGCTTCTAACTAGCCTTTGGTTGCTTGTAGCTTCTAACTAGCCTTTTGTTGCTTTTAGCTTCTAACTAGCATTTTGTTGCTTTTAGCTTCTAACTAGCATTTTGTTGCTTTTAGCGTCTAACTATCCTTTTGTTACGTTTAGCTTCTAACTAGCCTTTTGTTACATTGAGCTTCTAACTAGCCTTTGGTTGCTTTAAGCTAACTAGCCTTTGGTTGCTTTATCTTCTAACTAGCCTTTTGTTACTCTTAGCTTCTAACTAGCCATAGCTTTTAGCTTCTAACTAGCCTTTTGTTACTTTTGGCTTCTAACTAGCCTTTGTAACTTTTAGCTTCTAAATAGCCTTTTGTAGCTTTTAGCTTCTAAATAGCCTTTTATAGCTTTTAGCTTCTAAACAGCCTTTTGTAGCTTTTAGCTTTAACTAGCCTTTTGTGGCTTTTAGCTAACTACCCTTTTG